TCATAGACTGCTAAGAAAACAAACAGATTCATCCTGGAGAGGGTTAAACCGGGCTGCTCCTTGGAGGCAAGGATTCCGAAGCTTCGTCTGACATACTTTGGTCATGTTGTAAGGAGAGACCAGTCCTTGGAGAAGGACATCATGCTTGGGATGGTGGAGGGCAGGAGCATGAGGGGAACGCCCTCTGGGAGGTGGACTGATTCAGTGACTGGGGCAATCGGGATGAGTGTGCCAATGAGATTGGCACAGGACAGAGCAGAGTTTAGGGCTGTTGTACATAGGGTCACTATAAGTCGCAAGTGACTTGATGGCATACAACAACAACAACATCCTCATCTAAGATATCATTGCTGATTATTCCCTACCCGTCACCTAGATTCTTGTTTTATTCATTTGGAGAAATCTTTTGATGCACATAAAGATGACTTTTTAAGGAAGTTCTAATAATCTAGTTCACTCTCTGCTGGTTGGACTTTTTGTTGTTGTTGTTGTTGTTATATCAGATAATCTGCTTATGGCATGGATAAGTTTGTCCCTATTATTTTCTTGCACAGTCTTTATAGTTTTAGGTTTTATACCTAGGTATTGGTTCATCTTGAGTTTGATTTTGTATATGGTGTGAGGTATGAATCTTATTTCACATTGTTCTTCTTATTCTCATTTCTGTAATTGAAAGCTTACATCAAGGAATTATAAGTTTTCCAGTTTGCTCTAGTAGCACTAATAAGTAAGGAATTTTGCTGCCAATCCCCCCCCAGTAAAAGGCAGCTTAAATCTGTCAATTGTTCCCCAGGAAAAAGATGGGCAACCTCCTCCTGTGAGGCCCACTGTTTCTGAAATACTTCTGGAGAGTTAGATTTGACTTGATTCCAACTCAGTGGCAATGAGTTATGTTGTTTCTTCTTTGAATATCCTTGAGCAAATTCTTAATAGAAGAAACCCTGGAGTTCAGCATAGAACAGTCTCAAAAGAGTTTCTCTACATTGCAATTTTTATAGGAGCAGATTGCCAGAACTTTTCTTTCCTGGAGCTGTTTTCAGATTGGAGTTGAACACCTGGACCACTGCATTATTTTTGTTGTTAGGTGCCATTCAGTGACTTTGATTCATAGTGATCCTCTGAACAACAGACATGGAACTTTGTCCTCCTCTGAACCATCCTCAAGATTTCAACCATTCCCATGCCATTGTTACAGTCACTATATCAATTCATTTTGTTGAGGGTCTTCCTCTCTTTCTCTAACACTCCACCTTTCCCAGCATAATGTATTTTTCCCAGGACTCACTTCACCTTAAAGTATGCCCAAAAGTGTCATCAATCTTGCCTCTGAATAGCAGCCTGGTTGCACTTCTCTAAGACATACCTGTTTGTTTTTAGCGGAGTCCATGAGATATTTCTCTACAACACCACAATTCACAATTCTGCCATCTGATTCATTGTTCAACTTTGTTATTAAGGCTTCTTAAATTTCCTACTAAACCTTGTGTTTGATATATAGTGCTTTAATTTACATTCAACTCAAATTTTTTCTAATTCCATTTTAATTTCTTCTTTGACTCATTAGCTATTTAAAAGCGTATTTTAAATTTCTAAATGTTTAGGAATTTCCTAGAGATAATTCCATTACTGATTGTGAATTGATTAGAATATTCTAGATGACATATGTTTTATGGCTTCAATACTTTTAAATTTAACCGACCTTATTTATGGTCCAGAATTTAATTTACGTTTGTAAATTTTCCATGTGTAGCATTTAAAACAATGTGCATTCAACTACTGTTGATTGAAGTAGTCTATAAATAACAACTGGGTCAAGTTATTTAATTGTGTTTTTCATGTCTTCTCTATCCCTTTCCATTGCCTGTGTCCTTGTTCTATCAATTATTAAGAAAGTGTTTTTAAATCTCTCACTCTATTTATATACTCTTTCGATCTGTTGTACAATTTATTTTGACATAAAAATGAGTTGGAACGTTACTAGATTATACGGTCATTGAATCTTCTTGAATTTTCTTAATCATACGATATAGCAGCAGGGACAGGGGCCCCTGTTGTCACTGACTCAGCATACTGGGTGTGACCTGACCAGGGCATAACATGTTCCAGCCAATGGGGGTCACCTGGCTCATGGAGGTCACTGTACCCCAGCACACTGGGAACATGCCACTTGTCAGTGTGGTACAGGTGCTCCTGCTAGACCTCAAGCTGGATCTGCTAATGAGCCTCCACTACTCTTTGGTGGTTGGGAGGAGGGAGACCTAGCAACTGGGTGGTGGATTTTTCTATGGACTGTGGAGTGGGCTGAGTCTGGGTCACACTGGGGAAGCTGGCTAGTGATATACTCAGAGGGGAAGGCTGAGGCTGGGCAGGGGGGTGGCTGCAGAGTCTGAGGCATGCCAAAAGGTGCTGAGGTATCAGGCAGGCACTGCTAAGGCACATTGTGAATGCTTATCTGGTCATTTGCTGGTGTAGGAACTGGTTGGTCATGCTGTAGGCCGTGTGGCTGGATCTGCTCCTGGGGAGCTTGTGTTTGATGTTGAGGCAGAAGAGCACGGAGCAGTTGTCTCCAGGCTGTTTTTGCCATGGTAGCAGCAGAGGGCATTGAAGGGCTTGCAGATGGGGCCCCCACCCTAAGCCTTAAACTTGCAGCCCTTGATGTGCTGCACCATTTGCGCTTTGTTTTCTACAGGATGGCAAGAAGTAGTTACTTTTTCGGCACAAATAGGCATGAACTAGATACTGAATGCAGATCCTGATATTCCGAAGCCATAATCCATGGATGCTCTTTGGCTTCAGCTGGCAGTCGATACTGTCCTTGAGATCCATCTTGTGGCTGTGGCTCTTGCCATAGTTGATACACAGATGTAGTCCTTAGGACTGTTCACCATTTGTCAGCGCACACAGCTCCAAACACCAACCACACGTAAGAAATATTTCTAAATGTGTATTTTTAAAATCACTATTATTCTATCCCATTTTTGAGACATGTAGCTTACAAATAGGCACTAGTTCAGGTTCCATATGGACACAAGTAGTATGGTGTTGAGTCCTCTAATCTTTTGGGGTTCTTTTCAGTGAGTCAAGATGTTTCTTTGCATACATGGTAAACAATACTCTTCCATATAACTGGACAGTGCTCCTGAAGACATTCAGAAGTCCCTGTAAGAGTCTCCTCTCTGGGAGCCCTGGTGGCCTAGTGTCAGGAAGCTTCACTGCAATCCTAGAGGTTGTTGTTGTTGTTGTTATGCCATCGAGTTGCTTGAGACTCATAGCAACCATACGTACAAGAGCCCTAAACGCCATTCTATCCTGTGCCAACTTCGCTGCCTCAAACACATTCATTCCCACCACTCCACTCACAGAATCAATACATCACATCGAGGGTCTTCCTCTCCTGTGCTGTCCCTCTACTCTCCCCAAAATGATGTCATTCTCCAAGGACCAGTCCCTCCTTGCAACATGCCCAAGGTATGTCAGACGAACCTTCAGAATCCTTGACTTCAGGTACGCAGTTCAAATCCATCAGATGTTCTGCTGGAAAAGGAGGGACAATCGCCTCCTGTACCAGTCAGATCTGATTTGATGGTACACACACACAAATAATAAAACTTTTTAAAAAGTCTCTTCTCTTTAGTATTTTCTCCTCTGAAATCTATCTACCCCTTGTTCCCAGAATCACTGCCCTGTGTCCTAAATTCTGTAACTCAGAAAGTTAGTCACCTTTTTACTTGCCTTTGCCTCCCTACACCATAGCCTGAAGCTAATAACATAGTGGATTTATATGATCCACTCTTGTTTGATTTAGGATTTTTTTTTTATTCATCCTCAGCAGTGTCTCTCATTATCTAATCTCCTGTTTCTAAAACTATTGCTTCATATGTTTTGTCTCTTAGTTTAGTATCAGAACAAACTCTAAAAAATAGCCCAAAATCAGACCCTAAAGGGTGGAATAGAACTATCCTACAGGTTCCTAAAGCTATAAATCTGGAGAGAAAAAAACTGTTTTTGTTCCACAGAGTAGTGGGGATGGTCGGGTGTGAGGGGGGGAGGTGAAGGGATGGGGACTGGGGGGCTGGAAGAGTGTTTCAAATCATGACACTTCTGGCTAAGAGATAAATGTTTTGACCATTACACTGTCAAGTCTTTTAGTATGATTCTAGTCCCTCTTAAATAATATGGTCTAGAAGCTAATATTTATGTCTAAATCTTCACCTTTAATTTATGCATTTAACCATGAATATTTTCACGGTAATCATCATCAAGGTTTGTACTGTATCTTCTCTTAGATTGCCATCTCTTATTCCTTAATGCCTTATTTCAGATTACTGTTTTATTCATTTCCTTCTCCCTTCTCTTGTTTTGAACAAAAACCCTTTAGATGTCAGTCACGAATGTAAAATTTGTCCCATTTTAGCAAGCTTTAACTTTTATAACAAATACACCTTTCTTATTGTCTCTAGCAGGACACTACAACTTTTTCTCTACCTCAAGGATTAGAAATTTATTTAATTTTGGGAAATAGGATTTTCACTATTTTTATCTCCTAGTAACATATTTAGTATGGAACAGGCACTGTATTTGTGATGCTTACTACTTTATCTACATTATGCAGCCCAATTCTTGTTTAATATTAAATGAAATAAGTATCTGTCAAAAATATAAATTTTATACCATTATCCATAATAGAACTATTTAAATAAGCCATTTTCCATAACACATAGGTTCATACAGTGTTTTTACTCTCTAATATTTGTATTTTCTTGCAATGCTCTTTTTTATTATGCAATTTTTTTTCATATTTGAAATACAGTTAATATGTGTTGATATTTTTACCTATCAGTGCTTAGTACTATATGACAGGAAAGTAATTAAAAAGCAAAGTACATCACAGTGTGAAGAACAGCCTTTACTATGTGTAAAATGTGTGAGTGGATTTAAGATATATTCATTTTGGCTTGTATGACTGAATAAATGAGTATTAGAGATAATATAGAACTTACCTTTCTAAATATTTCTATCAGGTCACAACAACAAGAATATTTTTTGAAACAATTTATAAGTTGTGTAATGAAAATAGAACCATTTTCATTTCTCCAGGCAACATTATCTGTGAATGAGAGTGAAAATAAATATTGACCTATACAATCTTCCACCTTTTAAAAAAAACCTGTTGTTGTTGTTGTTATGTGCCATCGAGTCATTTGCGACTCATAGTGACCCTATGTACAACAGCCCTAAACCCAGCACTGTCCTGTGCCAATTGCAATGCCTCTGACACACCCATCCCGATTACCCCAGTCATTGAATCAATCCATCTCATAGAGGGTCTTTCCCTCTTTCACCATCCCTCCACCCTCCCAAGCATGTTGTTCCTCTCCAAGGACCTGTCCCTCCTTGCAACATGCCTAAAGTATGTCAGAAGAAGCCCCAGAATCCTTGCCTCCAAGGAGTAGCTTGGTTTAACCCTCTCCAGGATGAATCTGTTTGTTCTCTTGGCAGTCCATGGTACATTCAATACTGTTCTCCAGTACCACAGCTCAAAGGCATCAATTCTCGTTCTGTCCTCCCTAGTCATTGTCCAAGTCTCTGATGCATAACAAGTGATTGCAAAGACCATGGCCTGTATCAGGCACACCTTATTCTCCAGAGAGACACCGTTGCTCTTGACTACTTTAAAGAGGTAATTAATAGCAGACTTTCCCATTGCAATAAGTTTTTTGATTTCCTGACTGCTGGTGCCAAGAGTGTTGACTGTGGAGCCGAACAAACTGAAGCTGTGAACAATCTCTATCTCTTTGCCATCCATCCTGATGCTACCAATTGGTCCATTGGTGAGAATCTTTGTCTTCTTGACATGGTGAGAATCTCTGTCTTCTTGACACTGAGCCTCAGTCCATACTGAAGGCTGCAGTCCTTGACCCTCTGCAGCAAGTGCATGAGGTCCTCCTCGGTTTCAGCAAGCAGGGTTGTGCCACCTGCATAACACATATTGTTAATAGATCTTCCACCAATCCTGATGCCACAATTCTCCTCATAGAGCCCAGCCTCCCGGATAATCTGCTCTGCATACAGGTTGAAAAGGTATGGAGACAGGACATATCCCTAGCGTACACCCTTCCCAGTTTTGAATCCTGCACTGTTACCCTGCTCTGTTCTGACGACTGCCTTCTGGTCCAAGTATAGGTTTCGCATTAGCACCATTAAATGTTCTGGGATTCCTATTCTTCTCAGAGTCAGCCACAGTTTTTTATGACCCACACAGTCAAATGCCTTTGCATAATCAATGAAACATAGATAGACACTTTTCTGGTATTCCCTGCTTTCAGCTAAGATCCATCTAACTTCAGCTACAATATCCCTAGTACCACGACCCCTTCTAAACCCAGCCTGGACTTCTGGCAATTCTCTGCTTATGTGCTGCTCCAGTCGTTTTTGGATAATCTTCAGTAGAATCTTGCTTGCATGTGAAATCAATGATATTGTTCTGTAGTTTCCACACTCAGTTGGGCCACCCTTCTTTGGAATGGGAACAAATATAGATCTCTTCCAGTCAGTTGGCCGAGTGGTTGTTCCCCAGATTTCTTGGCACAACTTGGTGAGCACATCAACGGCAGCATCTGTTAGCTGAAATACGTCAATTGGTATTCCATCTATTCCTGGGGCCTTATTTTTTGCTATTTCCTTCAAACCAGCTTGAACTTCTTTCTTCACCACCATAGGCTTTTGCTCATATGTTATTTCATTAAATTCTCCTGTGACTGCCAATTCCTTTTGATACAATGACTCAGTATATTCTTTCCGTCTTCTTTTAATACTTCCTGGATAATTTAATATTCTACTTAAAACATCCTTGATTATAGCAACTCTACCATAAATATCTTTGAAAAGACTCAAGGTAGAGAAAAAAATAAGTCGATTCTTTGTCTGACTTGTTACATAGAATGTGTTTATACTGAACCATAAAACATACGATATAAGTTTTACCATACCATCCAGCCTTTGAAACATACTGTTGTTGTTAGGTGCTTTCAAGTGGTAGAAAACTCATGAACAAAAGACCTGAGCACTCCATAGAGTTTTCAGAGGCAAGCCATTTTGGAAATGGATGCCACTCCTGCTTCCAATCTTGTTTTCATCGAAACATAGTATAGAGTATAAAATTGATACACTGAAACTGATACTGTAGGTTGCATTTTCTAGGAAATACTTTCTCACTTTTTCTTGAGAACCTGACCAAGAATAAAAAAGCAAAAAATAACATCTATAGTGATAAAGTAGTTACTGAACTAATTTCTATGGATCAGTGAAGAGTGTTCTCTCTAAGTTATGTTTGTTGTTGTTAGTTGTCATTGAATTGGCTACAATTCTTAGTGTCCTAGGGACAGCAGAAGGAAACTGTTACTTACACTGTAACTAACATCCTTAACAATTTTTGTGGTACTTGATCCCATTGTCTAACCACTGTGTCATTTCTACTTGTTGTTGGTCTTCTTAATTTTTTTTTTTTTTTTTTTTACCTTCTACATCACCAAGCAGGCAGTTTTTTCCCCAGGACTGGTCTCCTTGGATAACATTGGCATAGTATCTCACTGTCTTTACTAAGGAGAATTCTGACGTTCCTTTGGCAATAGATAATATAGTAAATATTCTTCATCAACATCATATTTCAAAGGACCACACCTATATTATTGTCACTTGTCTCATGACGTTCCTTTGGCAATAGATAATATAGTAAATATTCTTCATCAACATCGTATTTCAAAGGACCACACCTATGTTATTGTCACTTGTCTCATTAATATCCGAAACTTTTACAATGAATAAGAAATAACAAAGAATAATTGATGTTTTTGAATTGTAATGTATTCCGAGAAGTTAACATTACTTGAGTCAATTCTAATCAGCCCAAGACAGACACCTTTTGCTAAGGTTTCTATGTCCTAATTATCAAGTAATCCTTTCCAGGAATTACTAAAAGTAAGATGAATCAAACATGAGTGCTCAAATTTCCAAGCAGTATATTGTTGTTGTTATGTGCCATTGATTTTCTTGTGACTCACAGCAACCCTACGTACAAGAGTTCTAAATGTCATTCTATCCTGTGCCAACCTCGCTGTCTCAAACACAGTCATTCCTACCACATAAATCACAGAACTGATCGATCTCATTGAGGGTCTTTCTCTCCTGTACCGTCCTTCCACCCTCCCGAACATGATGTCCCTCTCCAAGGACCAGTCCCTCCTTGCAACATGCCCAAAGTATGTCAGACGAAGCTTCAGAATCCTTGACTCCAAGGATCATTCTGGCTTCACCCTCTCCACGACAAACCTGTTTGTTCTCCTAGCAGTCCATGGTATATTCAACACTCTTCTTCAGCACTACAGCTCAAAGGCATCAATTCTCTTTCTATCATCCTATTCACTGTCCAACTCTCCAATGTATAGCACATAATTGTGAAGACTATAGCCTGGATCAGGTGCTCCTTAGTCTCTAGCCTGATGTCGTTGCTCTTTAGTACTCTTGAGTCCTCTGTGAGTACTCTTCAGTACTCACAGCTGACTTTCCAAAGTAATTTGTCTCTTAATTTCCTGGCTGCGTTTACCAAGAGTGTTGACTGTGGAACCAAGTAAACTAAAACTTAACTATCTCAGTCTCTTCTCCATCCATACTGATGCTGCCAATTGACCCAGTTGGTGGGAATCTTTTCTTCTTGATGTTGAGTTTCAATCCATATTGAAAGCTGCAGTCCTTGACCTTCTCTAGCAAGCACTTCAGGTTCTAATCAGTTTCAGCGAGTAGGGTTGTTGGCAACTCTTCCACCAATCCTAATGCCACATTCCTCCTTGTACAGCCCAGTGTCTAAGATGATCTGTTCTGCATACAGATAGAATAGATATAAAGACAAAATACATCCCTGATGGACCCCCTTCTTAATTTTGAACCATGTAGTGTCTCCTTGCTCTTTTCTGATGACTGCCTCTTGTTCCAAGTATAGATTTCGCATTAGCCCAATCAAATGTTCTGGGATTCCCATTCTTCTCAGAGTCAGCCATAGCTTGTTGTGATCCACACAGTCAAAAGCCTTTGCATAGTCAATGAAGCACAGATAGACATTCTTCTGGTATTCTCTGCTTTCTGCCAAGATCCACCTAACATTAGCTATAATATCCCTAGTACAACGACCTCTCCTAAATCCAGCCTGCACATCTGGCACCTCTCTGTTGACATATTGTTTCAAACATTTTTGGAAAATTTTCAGCAGAATCTTGCTTGCATGTGATATTAATGATATTGTTTGATAATTTTCACACTCCGTTGGGTCACCTTTCTTTGAAATGGGAGCAAATATCAATCTTTTCCAGTCAGTTGGCCAGCTGGCTGTCCTCCAGATCTCTGGAGGACAAAACTTAGTGAGCACACCCAGGGCAGCATCTGTTTGTTGAAATGACTCAACTGGTATGCTGTCAAATCCTGGAGACTTGTTTTTTGCCAATTCCTTCAGAGCAACTTTAACTCTTCCTCCTTCATCACGATAGGCTCTTGCTTATATGTTATTTCATGAAATTCCTCTGTGTCGGCCAATTCTGATACAGTGATTCTATGTACTTCTTCCATCTTCTTTTGATACCACCTGGATCATTTAACATTCCTCCCAAAGTAACCTTAAGTATTGCCACCCGTGGCTTGAATTTTTTTTTTTCAACTCCTTCAGCTTAAGAAACACCAAGCAAGTTCAGCCCTTTTGATTTTCTGACTCCAGCTCTCTGCACATTTCATTATAGTACCTTGCTTTGTCATACCGAGCTGCCTTTTGAAATTTTCTGTTCAGCTCTTTGCTTTCTTGATTTCTTCCTTTAGCTTTGGCTTCTCAGTGCTCTAATGCAATACTCAGAGTCTCATCTGACATCCATCTTGGTCTTTCCTTCTTTTTCAGCCTTTGTAATGATCTTCTGCATTCTTCATGGATGATTTTCTTGATATCCTTCCAACTCATTTGGTCTTCCCTCATTGGTGCTCAGGGCCTCAAACCTATTCCTGAGATGGTTTTGAAATTCTAGTGGGACAGATTTAAGGTCAAATTTTGGTTCCCATTGACTTGATTTCATTTTCCTCAACTTCATCTTGACAGGTTGGTCTGTCCCACAATTAGCACCCAGCCTGGTTTTCACTGCTGATATTAAGCTTCTCCATTATTGTCATTGTTCTGCTTTAGAGTTAAATGGATTTATTTATTTCAGCAACTGTTGGGCTGCTTCTCACATAGGAACTTACAGAAAAATTTTGATTTGAGATTTTTCAAATTCATTCTGCTCTTCCGTCACATTTCTCAGCCAATGCTTCTGCTGGAAATTCACTTCATTCTACTCTTTTAACTCCCTTTCCCCCTCAAAATGATATCTTAACTATGATGACCTTCTTAATGAATCATCTGAAATTCTTTATTATTCTTAGGTTTTAACCCAATAACTTGCTGTGGTGATGATTAAGTGCCATTAAGTCAGCTCAACTTAAACCAATCCTATTTACAAGAGTGAATCTCTACTTTCCTAAACTATTCTCAGAATTTCCCTTATATGTAAATCCATCTTTGCAGTCACTGCACCAATCCATTTCATTGAGAGTCATCTTCTCCTCCAATGACCCTCAGGTTTTCTAAGTATATTACCCATTTCCAGGCAGGATGTATTTTCCTAGGAACTGGATCTCTCTGACAGAATGCACAAAGGATTTGAGGCCATTTCACAATCTTTGATTTAGAAAAGCACATTTGCTGTATTTCTTCAAATACAAATTTGTTTGTTATTTTTTCAGTTAATAACATAATATTATTTACCAACACAATAATGCAATTTTTTTTGGTCTTCCTGATTCATTATACAATGTTCACATGCATATGAAACAATTGATATGGCTTTGGTCAGGCACCTCTTAGCCCTTAAAAGGAAGCCTTGAAGACATAAATAAAGATTTCTAAGTCTTCTTTTTCTTCTAAAAACTGGACTTACTAAAAATATGGTACTATTTACCTATGACTGGTTGTTTGTTAAAAGCATATTGAAGACTGGCATATAGCTAAGTGCAGAGAAGCAAAAAAAGGCAGGATCACTAGAAAACAGTTACAAAAGAAGACTACAAAAACTTGAATGGTGTCTCCACTCATGAATAAATTGCAATAACCCCCAAGATTTTTTTCTGTTTTATTATGGTTGTAGTTTTACTAATATACCAAATCATATAGGAAAGACAACCTGACCCCAACAAATACCCTTCGACAAACTGAAGATACATACGTGGTGTTGAAGAGCAGAAGGCAACAAAATCCTTCTCCACATGAGTCTTGTGGACACCATCATCCTCTAAGTTCTCTGGTGACTTTGAAGAGCTGTCTGATGAAGATACTGGTGAGTCATTGACCCATGCTTCTCTGTAATATTCTGTAAAGGAAACATCATATTATTGACTGTGACATTTATATTAGCATTTTTAACTGTCAAGTTCAAATTAAAGATGAACTAAAACAAGTCCATAAGAACCGAAATATAACATTGAGTCTATCACACCAAAATTTAAAGATCATCTCAAGATTAGGTTTAGAAGACTAATAATTAATGATCAAAGACCAGAGGAGCTGAGGGATGACAACAAGGACATCATCTGTGAAGAAAGCTTATATTAGTTAAAGAACAGTCCAAAGCAGTTCCCTGAAGAGACTCTGAAAACCACATTGTAATGTCAAGAACACAAAACAGAAGAAATGCTGAAGTAGAAGAGATGAACAGTAGATTTCAAAGGACAGCATGAGAGAACAAAGCAGAGGAAGGAAATGTGCAAAGAGTTGGAGTCAGAAAATCAAAAGGTAAGGACTCACTCAGCATTTCTTCTTTTTTTTTTTTTAATTGGGAAAAACATATTGGGGGTACAAGGAGGTGAGGGTTGGGGGCAGAAGGGTGAGGATGGG